GAAGAAGTGTGCATGCACATGAAAGCTCATACCAATAACTAACTTAGTTGGTCTCTAAGGCGCTACTGGGATATGGACGCGGGTGGCGCTGTGGGTTAAACCACAGAGTCTAGGACTTGCTGATCAGAAGGTCGGCGGTTTCGAATCCCCGCGACGGGATGAGGTCCCGTTGCTCGGTCCCTGCTCCTGCCAACCTAGCAGTTCAAAAGCACGTCAAAGTGCAAGTAGATAAATAGGTACCGCTCCGCCGGGAAGGTAAACGGCATTTCCGTGCGCTGCTCTGGTTCGCCAGAAGTGGCTTAGTCATGCTGGCCACATGACCCGGAAGCTGTACGTCGGCTCCCTCGGCCAATAAAGCGAGATGAGCGCCGCAACCCCAGAGTCGGTCACGACCGGACCTAATGGTCAGGGGTCCCTTTTTAAGGTGCTACTGGAAGGAATTTATTTATTTTATTTTATTTATTTTGTTTCGACTATGGCAGACCAACGTGACTACCTACCTGTAACTTCTTAAGAAAGGACAGTGCCATTTTTGACTATGTAAACCTCGATCTTTAGAAATCCCTGCTGTACACACCTCTCACAAGGATGGCAGGTGGTGGAGAAATTCGTCTTGGATCTGAGTGCTTTGCATGTCACAGTTACCATTATCTAACGCTCTTCAGAGTCTTGCATTAAAAAAGAGAAGTTTATAAGCATTTTACTCGTTCTGAAAGAAAATATTTCATAAGTGTGTTTTCCCCTGGGTGTGTGTCCCTCCCCCCCCATAAACAAAAATATAAATCACGATAAATAAAGAATTAAAGCCTCTAACCTCTAATGGATGCTGGTGGTATTGTGTGCCAAACACTTTTTGCAACGTTATTGCTGGAATATGCTGTACTGTGAACTCTTGCTGGATTTCAGCAACTGTTACCCTCCGAGCCATCCTAGCTGATGCAGAATTCCAAGAGTAGCAAATGCCAGGGTTTCTTCCAAGAGTTCTCTTTTTAAACCATATGGTGTCATGCCCAATGGATTACATCTGTTATGGTATGATATTAAGAATATATTATTCAGTTCAAAGGCTGCGGAGAGATTTCTAGCATGTCGTCTGTTTAGCAGTGCCGTATTAAACATTTATAAAAGATAGAAGCCTATGCATTTTAACTTCCATAAAAATAGGCTGTAAGACCAGCCCCTAGACTCCTCCTGCATACTTTAGCAGCTGGCCACACATCTGGGTTCTTTAGAGGGCCTGCCTGGGCCTGGAATATTCTGTGGGGGTTTTTTTAACAAAAATTGCACTTCTAGTTCATATGAGGGATTTCATCTCCGTGGCTTAGGACCAAATGAGGCGTTACAGTGGCGCGACATAACTCATATTGTGCTGAACTTGTGTGAAGTGGAGCTGAGACAATTTAAAGCGCAGCGTTACCCACGCAGGAGGGGAGAACTGAAGTGTCGAACATCCCATGTGCTTGTTCCCAATATGGTTTCTCTCTGGGTTTTTCTTCTCCTCCACGCAGGAGTTGCTTTTGGTTTTGGAGCTTCACTAGAAGAAACAACCGGATGGAATGATTTTGAAAGTTGTTGTTGTTTTGCACCAGTACTGAATTTTCAATCTCAGAATCAGGGTGGATTTGATTTAAATCAAATTGATTTAAATCACTAGTCAGTAAGACTTGATTTAAATGAGTTTTTGTTTTTGTGTTTTTAACAGAAAGACTCATTCTTGCCGCTATAATCTTAATATTTACAGTGGTACCTCTAGTTACAAACTTAATTCGTTCTGGAGGTCCATTCTTAACCTGAAAACTGTTCTTACCTAGAGGTGTGCTTTCGCTAATAGGGCCTCTTTCTGCCACTGTGCCACTGGCACACGATTTCCGTTCTCATCTTGGGGCAAAGTTCTCAACTCGAGGTAACTCTTCCAGGTTAGCGGAGTTTGTAACCTGAAACATTTGTAACCTGAGGCGTTTGTAACTCGAGGCACCACTGTACAACCAGATGAAGGTTTCGTTTTTGGAATAATACATTTTCAGAGTAGTTTTTACAGTTATATCAAAAATTACTGATTTGTTTATACTATTAGAAATACAGATAATTATGAAATTATTGTGAGGTTTCACAAGTTTATATTTGGACAACTTTTCTGTTTATATTTGGAAAACTTTTCTGCTGTACTTTATTGGAAGGAGAAAAATAAACATTTCCTTAATAACAATTTAAACCATTTATTTAACTAAAACAATAACATTATAGTATATATGTATCCATGTTTGTTAACTGATGTGGTTAAACAATAAAAAAAAAACAACAACAAACACTCTGTGAGGTGAGTGGGGCTGAGAGACTTCAGAGAAGTGTGACTGGCCCAAGGTCACCCAGCAGCTGCATGTGGAGGAGCGGAGACTCGAACCTGAGTTTTAGCACTCATGAAAAACTTAAAACAAATCCTTATTTCCTGATGAATAGCCTTTGGACTATAATGTAACTTAAATAGAAAACTATCTTTAGAAAGATGTTTCCTCCAAAAGCATTTTATTTTAAAAATCTATTTAAATAAAAATCTGATTTTTTAATTTATTTTTAAAAAATAATTTATTTTTATCCACCCTGCTCCGAATAAGCACTTGCTCTTCTTATGTCATATCCATTTCCATGTACTGTTAAAACTCATTTTTATCACAGACCATGTGACCAGGTATGAAGTGGTGGAATCCTAAAATGGCAGCGTGGATTGTACCATTTCAGGTTACGGGTGTGTATGGGGTAGTGGTGGCGCCACTTTCTGAATGCTCCTCCATGTAATGGCTTGCCCAAGTATTCAGAAATGTGTCTCCCCCCCACCCCCAATTTGCAGTGTAAAATGATGCAAACCACTCTATCACCATCACACCTTACCTGAATTGCTGGAGTTAGTTTTTTTAAAATTCCTTCTCACTTTCCAGATTAGGACTTCTGCAGCACTTATGAAAGAAAGAATGTCATTGAAGATTTGCAGAATGTCTTGGTCTTTTGACCAAGAAACAAAAGCTGGACATGGTAGCCAGGATTAATATTTTAAACTACTGTGGAGAGAAGGGGCCTTCATTTACATCTGCAACAATGATTTGCAAAACTCTGGAGGGATTCTTTGCTGTTCTTCAGTAAAATAGTAGCTTTTGTAGTTTGCATCATTGTCTGTTCTACAAAGTCAATTCTTCTGATACCTGATTACTTTTTTAACATCATTTGATCAAAATCTAGCTATTCACTTGTATGTGAGTGTGATAGCCTGGACCCAATTACCCATACATTGGTAACATTACATTTAGAATAATGCAGTGTGTTGTACATGGGACTGTCTTATGGTTGCATGATATACTTATTGCGTCTGGGAATACGAAACACATCTCATTGGTTTTGAGACAGCTGCGTTGACTTCCAGTTCGTCTCTGAACAAAATCTGAAGTTCTGAGTGTGACATATAAAGCTCTTAAGCAGCCTGTGAACAGGGTACCATTCCCTCCTGCTTGGGTATTAAGATCAGCATCTGGGGACCTGCTTCAAGTCCCACTGCCTTTAGGGTGAAATCAAGGTGGTGACCGTTGACAGGACCTTTTCAGTTTTGGCACCCCATTTGACAGATTCATTCCACGGGCAGGTTCACCAACTGGGAAGCACAGCATTCAATTACAGAGCCGATGTGATGCTCCTGCTGTTGTGCACACACATCCCTGACCTCTCCCCTGGCATGTCCCAGCAAAGCTATTGCTAGGAAGCTCATATTATGGCTTTGCCGCACTGGGTGAGCCGCTTCTGAGAGCCTTGGCTGAATAACAGTCTATGGCTAGTCATATATAGGTACGAATGGCAATGGCATAGGAGCAAGCCATGTAGCTCCAATTTACATTAGAATTTCATGGCTTGGGGTATAAGTTTTGAATGTCAATTGCACAGTGCTCTGTTTAATTTTTTGCCCTGAATGCCAAGTTGCTTTGGAAATGTAAGACCTGCACCACCTTGAAGGCCAACAAAAGTGAACAGGGTTTTGTTTTTTCTGCTTTCTGCAGTAGACTACCTTGATTAATTTGTCCCTGTGCAGGGGTGCTTTGAAGAGGAGCAACTGCAATTGTATACACCCTTACTTCAGAGTTAATCCCATTGACCTCTGTGGGGCTGATTTCTATGTAGACATCCATAGGATAGCATCTGTTCATTTACATAGGAGAAGGCTGTTCCCGGGGTGTGGAAAATGAATCTATAGCACAGTGCTGCAAAATCATCTGGTTTTGAAAACAGAGGGTGTATTATTCACAGCAATCTAGAGCAAATAAATATGGTGTATGTATATGGAATTTAGACTGAGAAAAGATTTAAAATGAAAATTCTTGCAGATTAACGGGAGAACTAAGTTTATTAAATGGGACACGGGTGGTGCTGTGGTCTAAACCACAGAGCCTAGGACTTGACGATCAGAAGGTCGCAGTTTGAATCCCCATGACGGGGTGAGCGCCCATTGTTTGGTCCCAGCTCCTGCCCACCAAGCAGTTTGAAACACGTCAAAGTGCAAGTAGATAAATAGGTACTGCTCCGGAGGGAAGGTAAATGGCGTTTCTGTGCGCTGCTCTGGTTCGCCAGAAGCGGCTTAGTCATGCTGGCCACATGACCCGGAAAAACTGCAGACAAACGCCAGCTCCCTCAGCCTGTAAAGCGAGATGAGTGCTGCAACCCCAGAGTCCTCTGCGACTGGACTGGGGTACCTTTGCCTTTACCTTTGCCAAAGTTTATTAAAGCAAACCAACATAACTCTTATTTCTAACTCTATTCCAAATTCATAGAGCCTTCAGGAGGGAAGACTAGGCAACTTTAATTGTTACTGAATGTGTTAAAGTCTATTTTTTACAGATAAGTTTCACACACACACGCCCCTAGAGTGCTGTGATTTAGTAGGTTTGTTAAATTTTCTTAACTGTGTCCACGCCTGAACCTTTCACTTTCCCCAAAAATCAAAGCCTTGTTTTCTCTATCCACAGAATATCCTAGCACTGAACCCTCGAAGACAAACTCACGCTTCTTTGAATTCAACTACAGCAAAGAAACATGAGAAAAAGCACTGGAAAAGGAATGCAGATAAAAGCTGCCCGGTAAGTACCACAGCTGTTTCTGCTGCTTTTCACACACAACTTGGGAACGCTCACTGCCTGAATCTCGGCATGCTGCATCTTCCAAGTCAGATCTTCCTGATCTAGAAGGCTTGCTCAGACCACGGTTGGCTGGTCTGAATGGTACAACACACAATGGTGTCGTTTGGGGGGGGGGGGAGGATGCGATCTATTATTCCAGAAAGGAAGGAGGGAGTGCTTGCACTTGTCACACATTCCTAGTCCCTCCAGACCATGTTTGGGAGGATGAAGAACATTATGTCTAAATGCAGCCATCATTTTGTGTCTTGCTGAGTTAAGCTTCCAAATGAAAGAAGATTAAGGAGATGCTCTTAAATTAACTTTATTGTGAAAAATGCTATTGCAAGTGGAAACCACATAGAAAATCGGTTTAAATTATGCTCCTTGTCTGCTTGGGTTTCTATTATAAACTTTTTTAAATTCTCTGATAACACCCCCTTTCTCCTCCCATAAAAGATGCTGTTGGTTACTTGTTATGGTCTTAAATCCCATTGTTAATTTTGATTCTCTGCCCCACGCTGCCCAGTGCTTTGTTGCAAGAACGTCCTGATCAGAAGGGCTATAGAATGATTTTTGTAGTCATGCAGATGTTAGAGGTCCATCCATCTCAGAAACCTAATTAAATTGTGCCTGGTGCTTTCCCATTTTCAAACCTTGTTACAATGAGTACCCTAGAATCAGTTTTAAAAGATTTGAGAATATCCATCTAGACCCTGTGAAATGCATAGGGATTGACTGAGCCATCAGTATACATATAACTAGAGCATATACTGGTCTACCACATCTGAGTATTGGGGTTTGGGGGGAGGCAAGAATTAGGAAGTGGGAATTACTCTGGAATATGTGGAGGGGGAAAGTCTCATGTTTGAATGTTCTCCAACAAAAATCAGAAAATCCCTGCACCTACAACACTAGCATGTCACAAAAAATTCTTATTGCTTTATCCTTCTTCCAACATGCTAGGTTATGTATTTATTAAATTTATATATCACCCTTCATACAGGGATCAAGTGTAAGCTTTTTAGACTTGTGGATATTCCTGGTGGGTTCAGATTACCCTTTCCCACCTTTGGAGAGTATTTATTAGATGCTCTTCAGCACCATGTGTGCTTTAAAAAAACCCCACATACAATGTCAGACAGATCTCTCTCTAATCACTACCTTAGTTCAATAGCAATTAGAGATATGTAGGTAGAATGCTAGTTCTATGAAACATTGATCTTTTCAATCACAACTATTCAGCCAATAATTGGTGTAATTTGTCAAGGGGCATCAAAAGGAAGGACTTTGACATTGGACTCTTTGAACTGATGTCTGTTCTGAGCTACACTTCCCCCCCCCTGCAATATTTCAAAGTCCATTGCGCGTTGACTTAACATTGTGGAAACTGCACAAAAAAGTATGGAAGTGATTGTGTGTTTGAAAAATAATGTTCATACATATTATTTACTGCAAATACAAAAACTACTGTTCAGCTCTTACTGATCACTTGAAGTCGGAGATCTTAGCCCAAATCTAGAGGATCACTGTCTGAAGAAAGCTGTGCCCCCAAAATGGACAAATTAATGTGCTCTAGCAGTGATTGGGAATCACATGATGCTAAAGATGCTTAGCTGGCAGTGTTTGTAAAATGCTGCCGACACAACTGTTCTTCTAAGCAAATAAGCCTTGTGTTTTTAGATGGGGGAATTTTACTCTGCATGCTGGTTCAGCTTCCACTTATGTTGCATCTGAAGTCGATGGGAATTGCAAGTTCTCATACTCTCTGAGGATTTGGTTCAAAAGCTCCGAGAACAAACTAAATTCTTTTGATTATCTGCTATACTTTCTAAGTTGTTTGTTATTTTTCCTGGTTGTATGCATAGTTGAAAGTGTTTATCGACTCTGCTTAGATTAAAGCTCAAACGACTAATACGCTTGGTTTGAATTCACAGTTGACGATAAAAATTTAGATAAATCCAGTTAGGAATAGTAGTGTTTGAGGCCTTTAAAAAAAAGAAAAGAAAAGAAAGCCTGAATAGCAAAATAAACAGAATTTTATTCACACAACTTTGTTGTAGCAGCTTCCTGGGTTAAGGGAAGAAAGGAGATGCTCTCTAGCTCCCAAGTGGTTTTGGTTTATTCTAGCAGTGTGGAGAAGCTTACCTTTTGATGATTGTTATTCAGAATCTGTAAGTTTTGATTTCATGTACCATTTGCCAGGAAGGTAGCAGAATCATGTGTATGGCTTGTGGGGGTTTTTTTTGTAGCTGACTCTGAAAAACCTTACTACAAAAGCTGAAGACTAGGTGTAGGAAAATGTATTGCTAGGCAACACTATATTACCATGGATCATAGTTTTGAGAATGTCCTGCTTGGAGCTGGTTGGGTAGAAGCCAGGAGGAGGAAGAGGAGAAGATATCTCAAAGTTGCAGGAATAAATTAAAGGAAGGATTAGGGGAAAGTGTTATAACATATTGCAGAAAGCAAAGAAGCAAAGGGATTTTAGTTAACCGGAGGACTGGTTCAGACATAACCTTAAATCGGCCTTCCCCAACTTGGAACCTTCCAGATGTTACTCGACTATAAATCCCATCATCCCTGGCCATTTACCATGTTTGCTGAGTTTTGGTCCAAAACATCTGGAAGCAAAAACATATTCTAGTAATTTGAGAATTAAACTAGCCTCCCTCAGGACTCATATATTCCCATTCTCCCTCCAGTACAGCTGAGAAGCCTTTGCTTCAATATTTTGATTAATCTTAATTGAAGTTAGTGGAAACAAGTCAACTTCAAGCCATGGTTTTTGAAGCTGGCTTATTTTCCCTAACTATAGTTAAGCTTAACCACAGTTTAGGGTTCATAAGGTAAAGGGACCCCTGACCATTAGGTCCAGTCATGACCGACTCTGGGGTTGCGGGCTCATCTCGTTCTATAGGCCGAGGGAGCCGGCGTTTGTCCACAGACAGCCTCCGTGTCATGTGGTCAGCATGACAAAGCCGCTTCTGGCGAACCAGAGCAGCACACAGAAACGCCGTTTACCTTCCCGCCGGAGCGGTACCTATTTATCTACTTGCACTTTGATGTGCTTTCGAACTGCTAGGTTGGCAGGAGCTGGGACCGAGCAATGGGAGCTCACCCCGTCACGGGGATTCAAACCACCGACCTTCTGATTGACAAGTCCTAGGCTCTGTGGATTAACCCTCAGCGCCACCCGCGTCCATACTAAATTGGTCAATCAAACCAAAAGCAGAAGCGGTATACAGTCGTGCCTTGCCTCTCCAGAACAAACTTAGGAAGGCTCCAGTCCTGCGAAGCCCTACTGGTCACAGGACCCAGCTCCTGCACGCACTCCTGACAGCCTACAAGGCACCACGGAACCATCTTAGCGACTCCATTCTGAATTTGTTGTAGGGTTTACTCCTCAGCCTTTTCTTCTCCCAAAGATATCTCACCAGGCAACAGAGGTTTAAGATAAGAATTTTCCTTCTCCTGGATGGGCTACCTTCCCAGGTTGTTGAGCCCCATCTGCCTCTCAGGTGTGTGTGTTTGTGTGTGTAAATAAACTATCTTTCATAAAGTCACTACAGTCGCCATTGTTCCTCATTCCCAAAGGAAACACACACCCTGGATGAGGACCGAGACCCCTAGAATCTTGTGCACAGTTCAGTAGACATTGGGTTGGCCGTTACCAATGGCATAAAATTCAAAGCTGAAACTGATTCATAAATAGTAACTGAAATAAGCCACACTCCCCCTTCTCCCTCCATTTCACACTTGCAATCATACCGATGGTAAAATTCTGGTATGAAGCTCCCAAGCTGTAGTTTCTTGTGGAACTGATGTGGGAGCTTTGTTTTTTGTTTTTTCCCCATTTGGAAGAAGGCAATGAAATGAGAGAGGAGAAAAGGTCACCAGTACTTGGCAAACCAGGGTTCTTTTTTATTTTTAGGGCAAAGGAGAAGCTTTTCAGCTGGACGGCATCATCCATCTGGGAAAACATATTTTCTGATAGTTCCAGCTCATGCCTCAGACTCTGGCAGCAGATTGCCAATGACGCTTATTGCATGGTGTAATCCCTTTGGAAATGGTCTTTCTCATTTTGTATTTGGCTTGGGCCATGATGAATATATTCACACTTCACCTGGAGGAATGTTGCTTTGATACAGCTGGTTTTCTGCTCCACGTGTCTCCAGTTCCCTAAAATAACCACTAGCTCTGGATTGTGTGTTGGGATAGTGAGAATTGAATTTAAAAGTGTTTGTTTACTGGTGTTTCAACTAGGGCTGCGCTAAAAGTACTAATTGTTTTTGTGGACATTCTTTGGCAGCATACCTCCCACCCAACCAAGAACCCATTATTTGGGAATTTTGTGGGTGTGCTTGCTTTGAAAGGGTTCAGTTATTCAGGACGGAAGCACTGATATTACTGAATTAACTTTGTTTCCCATAGTGATGTCTAAGCATAGCCACATCTCATATGATCCCATTAATTTTGTGATCCGTCATTGGTTGGGATAACTCACGTGCAGTAGACAAAGAGAATGTAATTCAAGGGCAGTATGAACAATACTTAAAATAAATAAATAGAAAAGGAAAATGGTCCTGAAATGGCAGTAGAGTAGACAGGGAAAACTGATCAGAAGGTAGCAGGGGTCAACAACCTTTGTGGACCAGGGGGTACATTCTGAGAGTGCTGGTGGAGGTGCCAGTCACAAAATAGCTGTTTTGGATGGTGGGGCACGGCATAACACAAAATGGCTGCCGGGGGAGAGCAGCATAACACAACGTTAGAGAGGCAGCCACCTCCAATAACCTTATGCTTACCATAGGAGCGCAGCTATGCTCTGCTGGTCCAGACTGTGGAGATCACACCACATTGATTTCACACACACACACACAGAGAGAGAGAGATGCTGTCTAATAGCAACAGGGAGCATCCCCAGGAAAAATATACATGCTGGCCACACTACACTCACTTAC